CAATCGCCTATAAGGAGTACACTTTTCAACAAGTCCCCTATTCACGGTCCAGGAGTCCAGTTTATCCAGTCACGCCGTCCTGTACTGTTGTGTGTTGTGCCAAAAAGGGAACAAACACCTTTTCAGTTTTACTTGCCTCGTGGCAGCGCATTCCTTTCTTCACTTCAGCCATGGCTGCCAGTTCTGCTGTGCAGTTGCTGACAGTAATCTGTCTCGAGGTAACCAAGGAGGATAAGGAGACGTTCAAAATCAAATCTGGAAAGCGTCTTGTGGTTCTCGGAAGACGTTTCATCAGTGCGCGGGATGAAAGCAGAAATTGCAGAACGAGAAAAGTTCAGCACAATTCAAATCTGACGAGTCAGGTACACCGACACTCTCTTTCGTTCGACGCCACAAGGATCCCCTGTTTGGCTGGCCATTGCTGCCAGTAAGACGTTTGAACAGTTTCATCAGAGCGTGGGATGAAAGCAGAAAGCGGAGAACTTGTGTGACGAGAAAAGTTCAGCACAGTTCAAACCTGACGAGTCAGATACACTGACACTCTCTTTCGTTCGACCCCACAAGGATACCCTGTTTGACTGGACAAGAGTTGCCTGTACCACCGTGTCAAAAGGCTGTCCAACTACATGGCAGGACGATGACTGAGGTAAGGAAGCTTTTACTCGTTTCGATTGGTCTGCTGTTCTGTCGTAATAATATAATATGCTTGAATTTTTTTCCAATTTCAAGGAGCGTATCGCGTTTGTTTGATATTGCTTGAATGAATGCCCTAAAAGTAATCAACCGCTTCGTAATAGTCCTCAAGGACTGCAAGGACTTTGCATCAATCGTATACGATCGTCTAGCTATCATCAATTATTACCCAATGCTGTAGACAGCAAGCTGTTTCGGCAAATAAAGGCCTCATCAGTACAGCTACGAGCTAAATAGGCCGAGCTACCAGCCATGGTGCAAAGGAGGCACCACAGACATTAACCCTTTGCATGCTGAGCCCCTTTTCTCCAATCCACTGGCTTTCCAGCGCACTGACTCTCTTGGTGGAGTATGCACGCACAGCTCCGAACGAAATTGTTTCTCATTTCACTCCACCTTGATGGATTTTCATCGTCCTGGGCTCGTTGGAAAGATCAGGACCACGCGAATCCATCCTGGCAGCTCTCAGCTCCATAGACACATCTGGGCCACTTCCACGTCCTCTCCAAACTACTCCACCGTGCCTCGTAACGGCACAACAACTCAATTTCACATTATTGTTCGGCTTCTTGCCCAAATAATAATTAAACAGATTTTCACAATGCAAACTGCGCTGCAAAGCGCAGATCCAAGCTCTTCATGTGATGTCCATCACGCATGCGCCGTGCCAAAGGGAAATCCCCTGGCACGCTCCTCAACAAAAGAAGTCATGAACAAAAAGATTTGCGTTCACTCTGTGCCGTGATTTCCGTGTTCATCTTGTCGCCGCTCGAATAATTCTTATCCTATCGCGAAGAACTCTATATCCCCGGAAAGATGAGGTCAAGTCCTTTCCAACGGTGTATTGATTGTGGCGATGCGTTTATGTTTGACGAAGTTACGAAAGTTTGTACACTGGTCTATGCACTGCGTTATATCGCGCGATTTTTTTGCGAGTTAACTCGTACGAGGTCATGCATAAAGTGCGAGTTAACTCGTACGAGGTGATTCGTCATTATTTAACACGAAAGTTAAAAAGCCTTCCGTAGGGTTCGAGGTGCGAATCTTTCCATTTCTTCCTCCAAAAATGTAATACTGATGTCCTTAGATTGCAATGGTGGGTTGTTCATGCACATAATCCTTGGTGTTGGGAAGCAGGGGGCAGTTGAAAAATGGCAATTTTCCCGCATATTATTTGTTGTGCTCATTTCTTAACATCATGGTAAAATAGGCCTTAGCAGCACAATTTCAAGTCAGTTTTCAATAGAAAGAGACCCTACGTATCCAGGATGGTCCAGCAAGACTGGATCAAGATCATGTTGATCCAAATACAAGCCATTCAAGCTTGCATAGCAGTAGGTGTATCACCCTGATTTTATATGCAATTGTGATCAACATCTGTTAGTAAATTCAGTAATTGCAAATGTTTGGCCATTACCAGGGCCAACACACCGACATTCCTCCTTCTCAGGCGTCGTTTCCAGTATGTATATATCATATGCTTCCTTTTCAGCTAAATATATTGTCACTGGAGGTTGAAACCAGCGGCTATGACTCTCTTATACTCTATTTTACCGTAAACATCTCGCACATGCAGACTGAAAGCTCTTGCAATGTCACTTCCTGAAGGAATATCAGTCTCAATATTAGAGGCGAACTTGACAGAACATTGACAATGGCAATGGCAAAAAGAAATTTGACGTGACTTTTTGCGGGCGCTGGCAATGAGATATTTTACCGATTTGTTAAGAAATGACGCAATGTTAAAAAAATTACGAATCACCTCGTACTCAGCATGCAAAGGGTTAAGGTAGCTCGTCGCTCTAGCGCCAGAGTGCTCAAACTACAAAAAGTAGCGGGCATTGCGTGATGCAGCAGCACTAGAGCAGCCTACTGAGAGTGCTCAACAAGGCGAAAGCCCAGGAGCGTGATACCCAATGCTGTAGACAGCAAGTTGTTTGGCCATAAAGGCCTCGTCAGTACAGCTACGAGCTAAACAGGCCGAGCTACCAGCCATGGTGCAAAGGAGGCACCACAGACATTTATTATTTTATTTCATGAGAAATGTATTTTTATCCCTGTGATAATTATGTGAACTCCACGACACTCTTCCTCTACTTGGCTCTAGTATAGCATGATGTCAAATACAATGGGAACCACAAACGCAGTGCCAGTGTACTAGTAGTAGGAGGAGGAGGATTTCTTGTATGCGATGACAAGAAAAAGCTTCTCAAGCTAATACAGGTACTCGTATTCCATGAAGTAACCGTTTTGATGTCACAAACATGACATTGTGTCAATGAAACTGCCTTGTAACAACAAATCATTGCATTTCCATCTTGGGGAAGACTGACTGACGGCAACGCTGTACAGATTGTTCAAATCATCTCATTTCAATTTAGTTGCAGTGAAGTGTACACTACATGTATGGTGGTGTGTCTGTGCGTCTTGAGTGTGCACAAACGATCTTATTCCTCATATTACATAATAGATAATGGTCCCCACCGTCGTCTGTTCACAGGTCTTTGAGTGGATGGATTTTCATTGAGCATCACATTCGTAGAGAACTTGGTAGTTGTGTGTCCCATGCATCATTGCGGTAATAAGCGTATCCTTGTGCTATCTATTTGTTGCAGGTGTGCTGATCTTCAGAAGCTTGCAGAACTGAGTGCTGCTGAACATTTGCATGGCCATGAGCAATGGTGAAGCTTGCTATTGCAGTCTCAGCATGTGCTAGTATTATGCTGACTACTGCACTATGTTACTCTCTTACACTAATACATGTCTACTACATGTATGTAAATGTGCGCGCATCCGCCCACGTATGCATTCGTTTCGTATAATTATTTGTTATCCCTCTTGACTTTACATGTAAATGGGTGGACGTTTGCATGGCTGTTGGAGTTGCGTGTGTATTGTGTCTCTACTCTTTTCTTGGTGTTTTCTTCGCGTTGTATAAGTTTGTGTGTGTGTGTGTGTGTGTGTGTGTGTGTGTGTGTGTGTGTGTGTGTGTGTGTGTGTGTGTGTGTGTGTGTGTGTGTGTGTGTGTGTGTGTGCGTGTGTGTGTGTGCGCACGCACAATAATTTGAAAACAAATAATTAATCCTTGGCTCTCCATTATTCTCTTTCGATTCTTGGTTTTTTTTCTAGGTATTTTCTTGGCGTTGTATGGGTGTGTGTGTGTGCGTGCACAATAATTTGGCAACACTACATTTTTGAGATATCGTAATTTGCAGCGTCTGCGAAGAGACCGACTTGATTTGAGGATGGTGTTTGTAGGGTTTTTCATGTAATAAAGTGGCCGCAGTGGCGCCTCAATACTTATTTTTTCATCTTGAGAAGTGAATGATGTAAAGGATTAAAGATAGAGGCCGTTTTCTGGTTAATATTCACTGCTTACAGCAGATCCTATGTCTAATTTCGAACTCTGGATAGGGGATGCCTAATTGGCTGGACTATATACAGGAAGTGTTGTCCACATAAAGACTCTTTATAGTTGATTTTAAAGTTTGGACTCCGTACAGTGGATTTTGGACCAATGGACTCTATATAGGGGTGAAACCAATTGGCTGGATTCCATACAGGGAGTGATGTCCATCTAAACTTTGAGCTCACAGTTGATTCCAAGTTTGGACTCTGTACAGTGGATTTTGGACCAATGGACTCTATATAGGGGTTGGACATCATATAGGGGCTGGACGCTCTACTGAGTCCAACATATAAATATATAATATAACATGTCAGTTAACTTATTGCAATGAATAATGAACTTGTGGGATGAAAATTGAAGTTATTGCCAACCCTGAAGTTCTATCCTCTGCTATGTGTTTACGCTCTGTGCAATACATTCAGTAAAAAAGGCTGTATATTATATTCATCATCCAATGCAACATGGTAAATGGGAATCAACGCATTCGAGAATAGAGAGCAGCGTGAATATTAGTGACAGGACTAGAGGACAGGGAGATTTTAAAAATGAACTGGGTAGTAGTGGCGGTAGTAGTATTTAATTTTTAACTTGAGTATACCAAACAGGCCTTTGGCCTACTTACAGGGTGCACAAGGAGAAATTATAAGCTGCTAGCGTGAAAAGCAGGCAAGAGTAGAAGCCAAGCAGTAGATGAATCCCATATGACCTATGGTCTACTTGCTCACAAGGGGGAAAGAAAGACGTTTTGATTCCACCTTGAGTGTCACGTGATGCAGCTGCCCAGCCAAACCGTTTGGATGAACATAAAAGTGAGTGTGAAGGGGAGCGTGGAATTCATGTTGCAAAACTCAAGTGCTCGGATCATACACAAAAACAGCTTTACCATACAGGGGGGGGGGGGGGGTATAGGCCAGTAATCAGATGAACGTGTTCTGGATGATATTAGTGTGAACAGCACGAAACCAAAGCACAGAACCTAGACAATAACATGATTACTATGAAACGAGGAAATGCAAGAGAGTTCTTGAAGAAGTGGCTTTAAGAGAACAGTAAATCAGGACAATACTCTGATTTTTCTTAGTGAAGTTGTGCTGGTACTTGGCGCACTTTCTTCCGTTATAAAAACTCATCAGATGCAAGTAGACTGCATGCTTTTGCTGTCCAGAGCGCTAAGGCGGCTGTCCAGGGAATCAGTGCAACTTGCACTCGTTAGTTCTTCATCCACTGTGACTGACGACAGAAGCTTACGCTTGCTGGGTGTACGCTTGCTGGGTGTCGCATTGAGTGTTTCAAGTGTCAAAGTGACCTTTTTTTCATACGTATTACTGTGTTGTGATGTCTCGCTGGAAGAAGCCGGAATTGCGGATAGGGTTGGGGCAGCGGGTGTCTCCGGAAAATCACTATTTTCACTCGTTTGCAACCCCCAGCTCAAGGTTGTACCGCGAGTTGAACAAGGGGACGACTGCTGATACTGTTGCAAGGCCTCATGCTTGCTTCTGTAAATCCCATAGTCAAAGCAATACACAGACACACACATGGACACGAAATCCACGCACAACAGCAAGCATTCAAACATATCGGAAGGAAGAACACGCATAACATACGGAAGCAAGAACTCACATAATCTTCTTTGTAATTCCTCAATGATATGAAAACTGCCCCAAACCAAACAATATGATGCTAGAGTTCGACGAAATTTGTCACAAGGATCGACACTAAGGGAGGGTTGAAATCAACCCGGGGTGTGAGCTGCCTAAAAATTTGGTTAAACGTGTTTTTACAGATTCCTTCATACCTTACTGAGGGGGGGGGTATGATAGGGGGGGGGGGGGGGTGGGGGGGGGGTATGATCAGTCAAGTTTCTTTTACTCAATCATTTCCGAAAGAAAAGGTGACAGCACCGATGCATATTCCCTGTATTTACCCATGATGAGAAGGGAACGAAAACGTTCGGTTATGGAATTGGCTTACTTGACTGTGTGGATTGCGTCGGTGCTGTCAACTTTTCTTTCGAAATTGGATACGTCTCCAATTTTTTCCTTTAATCAATTCCCATTTTCATTTTAACATAGCACAGTGGTCTTTCTATGTGCTGAGTGACGTCCAATCATCTTGCCGGTTACCTTAATGATGCAGGGAGTGGGAACTGAACCTATGTCACATGTCACCTGACAAGCCAAGCCATTCTTAATAGACGCTGACCAACTACAGTCCGTTTCAAAAAGATTCACAATCCTGGCGATCGCCCGCGGAGTTCGGCGTCTTACCATATGAGCACTCGAGCGCTGCCTGGAAAAACTCACTGTGAACTCGAAGAAATATTCCGCGCGAAAGCAGGAAAAAAGACAACTCACTCACGTTGACACAGTCATGTACGTCTGGTTTACAACGAACGAGTTCTTCCTCGTATCGATAATGGACGGTCAGAGAGGACATGCCGAAACGAAAGTGTTGTACATGTTGACGAGCTGCATGGGTCCGTTTTGTGACCAAAATAGTTTCTTCGAGCTGTGATGCAATTTACTCACCGTGTGACGAAAACGACATCGACACGGACTCATTCCCAAAGCCATGACTTGGCAAAGCTATCCGTGTGACTTCGACGACATTTTGAGAAAAGCAGACGCTTGTAAACGCTGATAGAAGACGGCGTTGCCTGCTAAATTCAAATAAATAATTATTAATTGGCGATCTTGAAATACTAAAATAAATCTCAAAAAGCTACAGCGCGATGACTTCCATTATAATTCACTCACACCATTGCAGTGTTGTGGGTGTGTTCACATGGCGTGAGCCAGTCAAGTGTCATTCAGTTCGGCAGGAAGCGCGAGCCCCAACAACAAGTCGTTTGGTGCAGCCATCTTCTTTGTCTTGTACCAGCTTGATCACCAAAACAATGAAAAAAAAGTTTGATTTGAGGATAGGTTGGGATTTGAACTCACAACTTCATGGTCAGCAGACAGCATTCATAACCACAAGGCCAAAAAGGAAGGGATAAATCGTGGGTTTTGATAAAAAATCGATACTGGCTTCCTGGGCAAATTGTAAACCATGGGAAAAGGCCGGAAACCTGGCCGAAATGCTAACTCCTTAACGGTTGGTCCAATTGTTCCGAAACCTTCACAGAACAATTTGCCGTGTCCTAACAAGCCATTCTATGTACTTTGTTGTCCAAATTTCCCTTATCTTCATACTTGTTAAGACCCAAACCTGATTGTAAATCTTTTTTAAACAGACTATAAAACAGGTTTCAACAGGTCGCGATTCATCGGCTTTTCCTTGGCGCCTTGAAATCTTTGCAAGTGCGTTCAGGTAAGCTTGTTTCTATGCCACCTAAGGTGACTGCTTTCCCTGGAAAGCTTCCAGGAGACACAAAGGCATCCCAACATGGCTTTAAGCCGGATCTTCTTTGCGGTTGCTGTTGTTGTTATTGTTGTTGTTGTTGTTGTTGTTGTTGTTGTTGTTGTTGTTGGTGGTGGTGTGGATGCTGTTGTTATTGTTGTTGTAAACGGACCATATCTCGTCATCCGGCCCAAAAACGTGACTTTCCATTGTTGTAAAGCTGACTACGGCTCATAGTACTCTTGGAAACGGTTTCAACATTAAAAGACAAGACCCGTAGTGCGCAAGTGAGGGATTAAACCATGAACTTCAGCCTTGTCTATAAAACGAAATGGGGTTTATTTTCCACACATGGAACTTCGCTCTCGTCCCTGGAACCATAATTAACTACGTGCCATGGGTCGGGGATGGGTTGCTGCTTGTGAACTGTACTCCTATCCATCTACACCCATCACTCCCCAGGATAAATATACTTCAGGAACTGAGGACACGTGATGGCAGTGTATTTACTAGTAGTAGTGACTATCGTGCATATTCAGTGATATCGGTATTTTAATGATTCCTCGTATTGGCATCACAAAGCAAACTTGGCCAATCTTTGCATTAGGGAAATGGACAAACTAAATGGTAGTGTAAGCTACAAAAAAAAGAGATTAGAAGCTTTGTGACAACTCTGAGTTTCACGTATTACAATGATCAACAGGCAACTGTAGTGATACTTGAAACTCAGAGTTGTGACAAAGCTTCCAATCTCTCTCTTGTGTACAAGGCTATGCCCTACATGGGTACTGAGCAATCTTCAGACAGTGAAGCACACCACTTGACAAGTGTAAACTACATGAAGACATCACTGACCTATAAGCAGTCGACCCTTGTTGAGAGCTGCGACGACGGCGGAATATCAGAACGGCTGCAATCCCGGCAATAACTAGCAGACCACTGACTACGCCACCAACCCAGGCATAGTTTGCATTGCCCAATTGTTTACCGTTGGGTGGTTTTGCTGTGGATATCCCGTTTGCTGCATGGGTTGTGGTTTGACCAGCTGTCAGTCGGGTGAGAGATGCTGTGGCAGCAGCCAGTCACAAAGAGAGACAATAAGACTAGCATGAAATACTACACTGTCTATAGAGCAGGGAGTGATGCATTCTTGCAGGTTTGCAAGAAAGTCGAAGGTTCAATGGACTTCTCATGTGCTCTGAATGGCAGTCGTGAGTCAGTCAAGTGTCTAGTTTAAGTCGGCCGAATACCGCGAGCTCCAGTGTGGGGATCAAACCCTTTTCATTATTAACACTAGCATGGTTGCACTATTATAGGCAGAAGTGATGGCGAGACACCTTGAAATTGCATTTACAGTAAAAATCCCACAAGGAAGGCGGGTGGGGAAGGGGGGGGGGGAGGGGATTGTGGTGCGAAGACCATGCTGGGTACCAGAGGGTGGATTTGCACATGCAAAACAAGTCATGCTCCCTTGATGTACTCCAGGCTAAGGTTTGCCGGCGACTCCTGAGGTCTGCGAAAATTGACTTTGACAACTTTGAATCAAAATCTAATTTGAATAGATTGTGTCACTTGGAATCCCTGCAATTTCGCCGTAACTTCATTTCGCTGGTTGTTTTAGTCAAGTACATCAATTTCCACCCAGACTATCTCTCTCGCTTTGCGATTACCATCTCACGTAGTGCCCGTAGGCCCAAAAAGCTCATTTTTAACTCACACTGCCGAGTTCGACTGTACTGGTATCCCTTTGATGTGGTATCCCATCGATTTACATGTACACTGCTTGTTCTTTCACTGGTTTTTTTTGTACAGCATCTCTCTGTTTCCGAACTCATTTTGCCTTTTTTTACCTTTTTCCCAACTCCAATGTTCATTGTATATACACAAACAGGAGATCCCCCCCCCCCCCAATAGGCGTCAGCCTTTGGGTAATCCTGAAATAAGGATTATAATACTTGATTGTACACGAGACTGTGTTCATTGCGTACTCACTAACGTTTGTAACATGTGATCGAGTCCACCAATTGAACTAGATTTTGAACAGCCAGACACGCACAATCTACAATCTACAAGTAGCACAAAACTGACTTGGAGCACTGAGACATTCCGCGACATGAAAGCCAGCTTGAGCACTGCTCAGATTGAATACAGTCCCTATGGGTTTAAGCCCAGGCTGCACAGAGCACATTTTAATAGTCTACCACAAGCACATGTATGACGAGATAGCAGTTGTCTGAGGATTGCCGTTGCTTTTGCTACTGTGTTATCATATCTAAAAGTATCTCGAGCGACCTATCTGATATGATGTTTTTGCTGGATCCTTGACCTACAGCGTGAAGAGAACGTGAACACATCCAGATGGCTCCTTCACCTGGAGAGCTTTGCCATCAAGGAGAGCTCTTGGGGCATTGATATGTCGCAGTCATCCAAACTCGTCATTTATCGTCACCTTTACACCGAAGACAAGTTTTGACGGCATTTCACAAAAAAAAGAAACCTTTACTACACAGAGTGAGAATTTCTCGCAAGTTTCTCTCATTGTGTGAGCCCAACTAGAGTAAAGAATCATTAGTTAGTAGAATCTGTGACACGATATGCACAGTAAATGTTGATAGGCTGGCACACTTTGTTATCACTGTCATCTTATTAGGATACAATGATACCCGTTTTGCTCACCTAGACAACTGGGTGTTAGTATAGTACCGTCGCCTGCACATGTTGATGTTCTCACTCCACTCAGTGTGTAGCCAGTATTGCAGGTGTAGGTTACTGATTCTTGATATCTGATCATCCCTGTTTGGCTAGATATCCCGTTGCTGATAGCTGGTACATGGCAGGTCACAGCTAGAAAACAGTACATGGAACGTTATGCTAATAGCTCATAAAACGGCAATGGCCTAAGCAAGCAAAATGACTGTATGTGTCTATTATCGCTTCAATGACAGGGCCATTTGCAACTACCCCCCCCCCCCCCGCATAGATTTACCAACACTGTGGATAATAGTCATACTGTAGCTCAGTTAGTTAGAGCATTGCTCGCGAACAGCAAGGTCTCTGCTTCGAGTCCCCGTGGTGTGACTGACGATTTTTTCTTTCTTTCATGTCTGGCTTGCAAGTGTTGAGTTTCGGAGAGAAAAGAGCAGTACGTGGCATGTGGCCTCTAATTTCCTAAAAACTTTGAAATTCTCCGTGAAGTCCAAATTTGAAATTGAAAACATTATCACTCTCTTATTATTGACCACCACAGAAACTTGTGATCTCTAAGGGCCGGGTTCCACTGCCTCTCCGCTGCTCGTCTTTCGCGGCTTGAAACGTCATCATTATCATAGTGACCGAGTGTCAGTGGAACCGCGCTGCTCCGCTGCATGTAGCCAAGTGCCGCGGAGCAGCAGAGCCGGGGTGGAACCCGGCCCTAAGCGGTCAAATATCAGCATATTATATTGACCGCTTATATTGACCACTTATCATTGACCACTAATAGCCCGAGGACTTAGAACTTTTTCCTAAAAACAGTGATAATGTTTATTATTTTTTAATCACTGCTTTCTTTTCATGACAACTCTATTTGAATCTCTTGATTGAAATAAGCTATTGCCAACTAACCACAATCTGGAAGTTTGGCACCGTTTACAAATGCATTTGTTTTCATTTTTTGTGTTGTGCTCCAATCGTTCACCATGCCACCATGAGTTGTATTCTGTTTGCCCATAAAAATTGTTTGATCGACAATTTGGCAGGTAGGACACATGAATACATGTCTGAGTTCTCATCTCCTTGCAACCATGGCAACCCTTACGGTCCCGCCAGATCTTCTCGTGTACGTGAATGTATTCTAGTAAAATAGCGAGACTTGGTGCTTGTGCTCATCAGGGGGAAGGGGGGGGGGTGTCCTTGTTCGTTGATGATGGCAACCCTATGTTCGTTGGAATGGCAACATAACATTTTTTAGCCATGTTAGTGCTCCTTCTGTTTAATATCTGGTTCGCGTCAACAGTGAGAATGTTTCTTTTTAATATTCTGTGGCACAACGTCTATATCTCTTTTATCTGGTGGGAGGGGCGAGGGGGGGGGGGGGGAGGGGCGAGGGGGGGGGGGTAGTTGGAAATGGCCCTGTCATTGAAGCGTCAAGATATCCAGTTCCCTTCTTTGTTGAGTTTCCTTCGACAAGGGTGTTTGGAGAGCTCCACCATGTTGACCTTTGCCAAGCATCACATGCTGTCCACAAACCATACATTGCCTCACAAGAAATGGCTTTCTAGCTAAGATACAACAACAATGAAATGAAATTCCGCAACGACAAAGCCACACAAGCATGGATGTGCCCATGCCTCGGTGGAAACAAATAACTAAGAACCAGGAAAGCATTTTTTGGCCTTCTAATCGATTTGAAAGAAGCCAAGAACAGTTGCCCAAAGCACATAACTAGAACGCTTTGACACGAGTAGCATCCCTGCCTTAGCAACACAACTTCACACAGAGGTATACTTTCTCAAACGCTATGAAATGTATGAATGAAGCAGACATCACATCCCCTTCTTCGTGAACTTGTGACTCCAGTTCCGTAGTTCCCACTGAGGACGGAAATCGATTATGGACATAAGAACACCCGACCATTTACATAATGTCAAACAAGAATGGAACCTTCGGAAAGGATCAATGTGCCCAGAAAAAACTGGTTTCATTTTCGACAGCATTGCCATCTACCATTTCGACAATGAGGTTCTGCTTTTGAGCCAAATGGGCATTCCCAGCCCAAATGCTTCTGAAATACTATAGTGCTAAAATACTTTGCAGTTGTGTGCAATGTGACCATGAAAATCTTAACTTGATATTTTGACCCTCGAGTATATTGCAATGCTCCTGGAATTCTTCGCTGACTCCCACCACCCCCCCCCCCCCCCCCCCCCTCTCCCCAAGTACCTTACGTGCGGTGGGCTCACACCTGCCACATCAGGTCAACATCGCAGTCATCCATCATCATCATTTCTCTCCTTTCTCTCTATGTGTGAGCCCAGCTCTAGTCAGTAGTAAATGTTGATAGGCTGGCACACTTTATAATCACTGTCATCTGATCAGGATACATTGATACCCGTTTTGCTCACCTAGACAACTGGGTGATAGTATAGTACCATCAGCTGCACATGTTGATGTTCTCACTCCACTCTGTGTGTACCCAGTATTGCAGGTGTAGGTTACCGATTCTTGATATCTGATCATCCTTGTTTGGCTAGATGTCCCATTGCTGATAGTTGGTACCTGGCAGGTCACAGCTAGAAAACAGTGAAGTAAAGCGGCGTGGAGACGATATTTTGATGATAGCAATGAATAATATTCGTTCCGTGGTCATGATACGTACACAACAAAGAAATCTCAAAAGAGGTGTAACCAAAATCAATTTTCTTTTCACTACTTGGTTGATATCTGTATGCGGAAAATATAGAATGACATCATTATGACTGTAGATTGTTTGTTTGTTTGTATTCTTTATTTAGAGTGGGAAGTCCAAAACAGGCCCTAGCCTAATAACAATGGTCCCACGAGGGAGGGAATGCTGTATATCTGTGCATAAGGATCAGTGAGTGTAACAGCAGCTAGTAGGGAAAGAAAAAGAGAGAAGAAAAACAACTCAAAACAGGAGTTGCGACTTGCATAGGGAGAAAATAACGTATAGATGACATCATTAAGATTTTGAATGTGCTACACAGTAGCAAGAGAACTAGAGCGTGCAACTCCGCAGCTAGTCTGATCCACGGCAAAATGTTTTTATTTAGTCTGATCCACGGCAAAATGTTTTTATTTGCTGATGTCACCTTTACCAGGACGCACGACGTGCATCGCACAAAGCACATGCAGAGCATATGCTGAGCGGCAAGGTTCCAGCGGCAAGGTTTCAGCGGCAAGGTTCCAGCAGCAAGGTTCCAGTGGCAAGGTTCCAGCGGCAAGGTTCCAGCGGCAAGGTTTCAGCGGCCACACACTGCCTCCCCCAGTATTACTCATGATTTCGAAAAAAGGGCCAACGGGTCAAACCCAACGGAGCTGCAAAACAACGGGTCAAACCCTGCGTAGCTGCAAAACACTTTCGCTGACATTTCCATTGGCCCTGATCTGAAAGGCTATGTGACTTCCTCAACATGTGCTAGCGACCGGGCAGAAACGGAGGACAAACACACAAGGATGTGTGTGTGTGTGTGTGAGAGAGAGAGAGCGAGAGAGAGAGAGAGAGAGAGAGAGAGAGAGAGAGAGAGAGAGAAAGAGAGAAAGAGAGAGAGAGCAAGAGAGGGCAAGAGAGCGAGAGAGAGAATGCGGAAACTTACCATGGCAACCTCCATGTGCGCTAATACCCGGTCCCTGGAATCCACGCTTACAACCACACGTATAGCTTCCTCTGGTGTTGGTGCAGGTTGCATATGTATGGTCACAGTCATTCAACTGAGCATCTTGACACTCGTCCACATCTGCACAAATACATACCAATCAAAAGAGTAACCTTTCTTGAGAGACAGCAGCAATGAACACAACGATACACCACAACAGCTGACTTAATGTTTCGTGCCGAAACCAAAGTCGGCGGAGTGGTGGTGAGATTTCAGACAAGTATTTATTGGTAAAAAAAGACTGCCTTCCTCTTCTCCCAACTCTTTGAAATTGTACTAGTGGAGGGTATGCGCACAGAAGTTGACAATGGTAGGAAGAATACGGTTGTCACGCAGAGCTTCATGGCACATCGGACAAGGCTCTGCCTGCTTCATGTGTGGAGCACTCTCGCAGGTCAAACTGCCACCTGTGCACCTGTGCTTGGCATACAACTTGGCATGCCACACAGCATAAGAGCACAAATATTGCGACTGGGTCAGCACAGTGCCCAGATGCATAGCCCGTATGGGCACGGGGGGGGGGGGGGGGGGGGCAAATGCACGCCCCTAAAAGGTTCGACCTAGGTTCAGCATGCACATAATGCCCAGGATGACATGCACCAACCATCCTAGGGGACATGTATGATACAGCTGCCTTGCACCCCCCCCCCCCCAAAGAGGGGACCAGCTACGTCCCTGTCGCCCATATGTACTTACCGACACAGCTAAAAAAAATGGTAAAGAGAAAAGGACCACACACACAGTTTTATTGAGAAAAGGACCTATAAAAAATAAAATTAATATTATATCCGTAAAAAAACTTACCGACACAGCTGTTGTTTCCAGTACCAGTATATCCCACTGCACAAGGACAGTGATAGGAGGCAAGCTGATCCTGGCAAGTGCTGATTGTGGGTGCGCACACCGCAACACCCTCCGCGCACTCGTCCATTTGCACACAGGACAAGTTTGAAGAACCGCCGTCGCGGAAACCGCTTGCACATGCTCCGCATCGGTAGCCCAGCGATGGGGCGGGCTCGTCCGAGCATTGCCGCAGTCCACCGCAGGGCTGCAACAGGCAAGCGTCGATGTCGCTCTCGCAAATACGGCCAGTTTGACCTGAACCAGAACAAACGAGCAGAAGAAATCAAGTAAGCGAACAATGACAAGTACAGTAAAACATGCAAAGGCGACCACCTGTCCAGGAAGACCACCTGTCCAGGAAGACCACCTGTCCAGGAAGACCACCTGTCCAGGAAGACCACCTGTCCAGGAAGACCACCTGTCCAGGAAGACCACCTGTCCAGGAAGACCACCTGTCCAGGAAGACCACCTGTCCAGGAAGACCACCTGTCCAGGAAGACCACCTGTCCAGGAAGACCACCTGTCCAAGAAGACCACCTGTCCAGGAAGACCACCTGTCCAGGAAGACCACCTGTCCAGGAAGACCACCTGTCCAGGAAGACCACCTGTCCAGGAAGACCACCTGTCCAGGAAGACCACCTCCAGGAAGACCACTGAAACCAGGACTAAGGGATGCTATTTCCAGTCAAATGACCCTGGATAAGGAGACCACCTGGTAACAGAGATTACATTTTGAAGGTCCCTTATGCGGTCGTCTTAGACATGTTTCTCTTTAAAGCAGGGGTGAAGGAGGGGTTGTGGAAGTGGTACGACCGAAGGTGGGCGTGGCGGAAGGCCGTTTATGAGGGGGTCCAGGGGACCTCCCCCGGGATTTTTTATGTAAAAAAGATACAAAATCCTGCATTCTGGGACTCGACTGTGCAGTCCAGTCGAGTGCAGTACGAGTACAACTGCAGATGCATGGCAGATCTACGAGTACAAGTCTAGAAAAAGGTCAAAGTCTGATGGGCATATGCATCGATAGATCCTGATTTTTTTATTAAGGTTTTGCACGTTCCGAATGGACCACACTTTTCGAAAAGTGGTACGACCATGGTCGTACCAGTCCTAGCGGGTGCTACGCCCCTGGTAAAGTGTAACATATCAACTAACGCAGCTCAAGTCATTCGTGGGCTTCTGTGGTAAAGCACTCACTTACATTGTCACATACTTCACAAACTACATTTGTTTCAATGTAGCCAAGTTGTAACCTAGGTTGAGCTATGGACCTTATTCAATAAACGTCACAATCACGTGAACCGGGGTCCCGGGAACCAGGGAGTGGCAAGAGACCTGCACTCAGTGCACAGTGGACTTGGCGTGGGAACACAGGAGTAGAAAATACCGGTATTTTACTACTCCCTTGTACGACCTGGGCCTTTCTTGCCACTCGTTTCACGTACGCGTGCCCCAGCTTACGACAAATCCCTGGAGGCGAGTCCAAAGATCACGTTATCGAATAAGGTCTATAGTTTAAGTGTTGGTCTGTACACTGTATCGTGGTTAGTAAAAAAGAACATCATAAAAAGACCATTACAGGTTCCTACCGTATGTCAGCCCCACCTTTAAAGCCATGGCCTTATATTCAAAACACCGCTGCTTTCCTAGATATTTTAGATGCAATATGACTCACCCACTATGCCATGCCATAAAAGTAAAAGTCCACACAGAAATTTCAGTCTAAATCCACTTGTTCACCCCTCCTGCCGGGCTGTAAGTTTGTTAGTATAGTACTTATTCCTTCATTTTTACAAAACAAACTTCAAAATGTCATTATTTTCATTTATGAAGCCCATGGCTTTATAATCGAATATACCTCCAAGGCTTTAAAAGTGGGAACATACGGTAATAAGGCGGCATGGAGACAAGAAACCCAATAAACCCAATATCGACAAAAAATAAAGTGAGCGCACTCATGCCACGACACCAATGGAAACATAGGAAAAAATCCTCTTAAAAATCCTTTCATGTTTTTCCGTTGGTATCGTGGAATGAGTGTGCTCACTTTATTATTATCGATATAACAGGTTCTAGGACTTATTGTAATATCCTATACTTATTGCTACGTAAAATTTTCGCCTTGCTAATTCTGCTCAATACTATCATAAAACTTAAAACTTTCCTTTATGAAGTTGATTGCTCCAACTAGTTCAAACTTTCCTTTGTTGACCATGTATAATAACAAAGCACCCGGATTGACGTCATCTCTCACCTGGCAAGCATGCAGTACATGTAAGTAGAGTGAAGGGTGTTGAGACAGCAGTGCTGGCTGGTGCAGCGCTGCACTCTCCAAAGCAGCTGCAGAGGGTGATTGGCACGGTGACGATGGAAGTCTGGTTGGCCGAGTCAACGGCACGCACGCGTAGCACAATACTGCTGCTCGGCTGGCGCTGGCTGGGAGTCCAGCTAAGCACCAATCCAGACTGCGGGGAGTACGCCGACACCAGATCACCAGGGACAATTCCGCTGGAGGTGGCCACTTCGATAACCGAGATTTTAAGAGTGAGCGTAGCAGCAGCACGAACAGTCACGTTGCTGGTTACATTGAAGTTAGCATTGAGGACGTCAGTAGACAATGTTATCAGTGGTGGACTGCGAGCTGAAAGAAAACAAGTCATGGCACACAAGTCGAGTTAATCGTATTCTTGTGCAAGCTGACGGGAAGGTCAGACTTCAATTCAAGCCCGAGCAATGTAGCTTGCAGCCTATATCATCATATCTTCTGAAAATTGTAGTCCAGTTGTTGTCTGATGAACAGATATAACCGTGAAACAGCAGAAATGCTTTTGATTCCTTTCAAGTGTGTGTCAAAACAATTTTTGTATATGTATGTTGACACAAAACAGCCTGAAGTTCAATCTTGAAGTTGGATCCGTAGTGAACACAAGCATCTTCACGGGGTACAGGCTATCAAGCAAGGGAGTCGCGGTGCTACTACTATCCATAACGCCTCAAAAACGCATTCTGATCCTTATGCACAGAGTACGAAACACGATAGTTCTGGAAAGCTTCACGTTGTTGCACTGTGACAAAATAGTGTGCATGTTCGAGTGTACATACTGTTAGAATACATTAATCTTTCAGTGAGAGTCTAGGCGTACGGTTAGGTGAGAAGGCAGACATGCCTGTGTATCTGGTGAAGTAAATAAAATAAAAACAACAACAACAAGACCCAAGCGCACAAGAGTGTGTGTCCATACCCAAGGCAATGGAGGATTGCTGAAGAGCTTTCTCCGTCACGAGGGTAGATGCGGCCAGTGTGGTGCTGCCAGTTGCAATGAAGTCGGCCAGGCAAGCGAAGTCTCCATCGCAAGTGGCGTTTGCCTCGCTGCTGATATTCAGCACGTTGACAACAGCCTGGTTGGGCACAACGCCAGCTGGATTGTATGTTGCGTAGTTGGTGTTGTCATCGTAGGTGAACACATCATGGTCTGGCTGAACTTGCACTGTTTGTTATGACAGACAGACAGACAGACAGACACAGATGGACACAGACAGGCAGACAGACAGATAGACAGACAGACAGACATACAGATATACAGACCAACACACAGACATACGTGCGCAGATACAGCGTCAGTGCACGAGACAGATGCAAACAAGAATGCACAATTGACAATGGGCAGCTGCCCATTTCCGGATATGCGTCAATTTTCATGATGCGACCAGCTCTATGCTGCATCCATTCTCTATGCACAAGATTGAAAAATGGAAAATGGAATAAGAAAAGTGAATTTGAAGCCAGGGATTTCTGGGACACAAAATCGAAATGAATGGCGGGGTACACGTGGACAATGTGCCCACAAGGCGGACAGAATGGAGCCGACCTGCCCATTGTGAATCTGAATTTTGTTCAAAATGACTGATTAGAAGTTGCACGACTTGGTGAAAACACCTCAGAACATAGGATACCGTTAGGACAGCATTTCAAGGCCAGCTAGTTGTACAGTTTTTAAAACTGCGGAAAATAACTTACGAGTTGCCGCTGCAGCCAGAACACTTGCCGAGTTGCTCAGATCAACGCTGGGACGAGACATGTTGAGAAGACCGTCCACGGTGGAGAAGGGATCATGCGCCACTGTGCAACGAACACATACAAACATCAACTCACATCTTGAAATGCACGTGAAGGCATGCACCCAAGCACCGTGTGCTGGCGTAAGTACAACCGAGGCCCGAGGACACGAGGTGAGGCCAGCTAAGCGCTGAAATCTCCACAACTCTGAATTCGCCAGAATGAAAAACAGGCATGCACCAGAAACATCAATAAATACCGTGGTGTCTTGTATTAAAGCCTGGCTCGTATGGAAGCCTGTTTTGAATACAAGCCGGATTTTCAAGATACACTGGCAGATAAGCCTGATTTTAGTGTTGACACGCCGCACAGGAATACATGTACCAGGTTTGAATAGATGCCTAACTCTGACATCGGCTTCTACAGGCTTAAGCCCGGCTTTAATAGGCGACGTGACGGTCATCAAACTCAATAAAAGCCATACTGTAAAGTGACAAACTTTCGCGGCGTGCAAATTTAGCGTTTTCATAAATTGGGCTGGTTCACGATGAGAAACTTTCGCGATTCGATCTCTTCAGTTGGATCTTGTACTGTCTATAATCAATGTACAGAGAGGTTTGTGGCGATTTATATTCGCGAATGTGTGATTGTCGCGAAAATACCGAAATTTAATCTCCAGCGAAAGTTTCTCACTTTACAGTATACACAGCTATCAGACATGCTCTACCAGAACTTTTTCTTGTTACATTGCAGTGGATTGCAGTAGCAACCAACCTTGGAAGGCCAAGAAGAGGACAGGTGCTTGCTGAACGGAGACTTGCACACTGCTTGAGCCGTACGACGTCACAAGACTGCCGCTGTGCAGTCTGAAATAGGTATGGTTGCCGGCGCGGATACTCTGCACCAGCTGATCATCTCCGACAATGGCAAGGGTGTTGTTGCTGTATGCAAACGCCTCCACGCTCAGAGTCTGCTGTAACCTACTGATCCCTGTGGTGAGCCAAAGAACACGCAGCACACCAACAAGCAGATGTTAATGGGATCTTGCTCAGCGAACATGCGTGAACATCTGGAGATCTCAGGGTGGCCAGCCGCTTCATACAGTGTTATCCTAAGTTTTAATCTCGTCCTACAGTCCATTCATCAGCGGAAACTGTCCCGCTCGCTTTTGAAAGTCCGATTTGGGCCGAATTGAGGATCAAAAACCCACTTTAAATCTCAAAATCTGGGTTTGGGATCTGCTCCTCCATACATTTTGCTATGGTTTACCTGTCCCAATTTTGTAAAACCTGGCTGAATTTCTATTTCCCTGTTCTTCGACTTTTCTGGCCTCAAATGTGGCTTGGAGTAATTGCACAGGTCACACAATGCAGGATGTACTGTTGTTTTCACAATATCTACAACCATGTGCAGGAGACACCAAAAGGTTAGGGTGCCAGTTTCCAATGAATGGACTGTAGGCACCAACATTTCCCTTATTCTTTAACTTGAGAACTCGTACTTGCATGCTGTGTAGCTGTGTGAGAAAATAGCCAGCTTTATGAGCAAGAAACCGAATGAGCCGTGATGGCCTATGCCCAAGTTGCCCGAAATCTGGTCAGGCCCAATTCATGCGGCACTTTACTGTGCTCTTCACCAAATCAATATCAGAAATTGCTATTTAGTGACACAGCAAGCACACATACAAACACACACACGCACGCACACACACAGACAGGCAGACACACACACATACGCACACGGAGAAAAACATTGATCAGCTTACAGAGGTTGATGGCTACGCGGGTGATAGACGTGAAGCTGAAAGCATTAACCGGGGCCACTTCCAGCCTGGTGAAAACGGAGAAATTGTACGCCGCTGGTGTTGCAAACCTTGCCAGCAGGTACTCGCCAATGCCATGGAAATCAAAGTTCTCACCCTTGAAGTTGGTCAAGTGAGGGTCACCAAATCCAGAAGCTGTGGACAAAGTGGACAGAGCAGATCACATGGGATTAATGTGTAGCAGGTAGTAACCAAACATTTCCAAAACTTCAGTTTGTGTTTGATAGTATGTCATTACATCGAACTATGCGTACATGCTTACAAATGTTCAGCCGCTGCAGTTCGCCCCGGAACCAATCCCGTAACCAAAACTTAGCCCTGAACACAAACGGTATTGCGTTGTATGAAGTAGGGAAATAGATCACAGTCTTAGGCTGCCTCCAGCCGAGTTTCATGCAAACAGTGAATTTGTTTAGTCTACAAAGAGAGTGAAGCAACAGCAGCAGCAGCAGCAGCAGTTCATCGTTACCTTGAGACAGTGCCACTCTGGTTGTGGTTGCTCTGGGCGAGCGGCGCTTGCCAAAGAACTCGTTCAGAACGTCTCCCTGCTGGCAGTAGGCCAGGATGGAAGCATCGATGACTTGGTATGTTTCGTACGCCTGAAGGGCACCACTATCAACCAGAAGTCCGTCACTGCCATAGCAGCAGACCTGACAACACAAACCGCAAACACACACACACAAAACAAACATGGGTTGTAAGCAGGAAACACACGATACTCACCCTTTAGACAGGGGCCGGGGGTAACTAATTCAGCAAGCACAGCCGGGCACAGGCAATACACTTGATCATTTTGCGAGAACTGTGGCAATAGGCCCAGTGAGAAGGTAGATGTTGCCTTTGCTTCTAGTGAAGTAAAATAAACCTAAACAAAGAAACAACACAATAGGACCAGCAGTACCAAGATACAACGCAAGGCAAGCAGGCAGCTAGCTCACGCATGGCTTACCGAAGAAGCCTGGTAGCGTGATCCATTGGAGACCGGGGTTGACCTGTAGCAGAGATAGCTGCCAGTCACTGCGGGCTGTGGCTCAAAGATGCCGAGTACAGAGGTTGTTGCACGCTCTACCGGGCACTGGAGGAGATTGGTGGTGGACTGGAGGTAGGACGGAGTCTCCGCGAGGGCACGGCATTTCTTGATGCCGCGCAGACGCTGGCTGCAGCCCGGTGTTAGCCTGGTGACTAGCTGACGTGCTACACTGGCTGGGCTGAAGTAGCTCTCGATGTTGCCATTTGCCGGACGCCATGCAGCCACCACAGCCTTGGGGTTACCCAGCCAGCTGACACCATACTTGGGGTAGAAGAACAGGGCGAACGTCTGACACTCGTCACCAATAATGGCTGCCTGGAATGTGTTGCGCTGAAGCGGAAACAGGACAAAATATAGACAGTAACATTACTTTCGTCATGCACACACACACACACGCACACACACACGTACACACACACACACACACTTACACACACACACACACACTTACACACACACACACACACACACACACACACTTACACACACACACACTTACACACACACACACACTTACACACATGCACTCACACACATCTTGACCTTGACAAACAGCTGCCGTTAAACGGCTAAGCTGCCCTGATGAGGAGGGAAACAATGGGGTAGCTTCACGGCGTCGCGGCAGAACATCCGGCCTCATGCCGCTGCAGATCCTGCTGTCTGCGATATCTCTCGCCGCACGCACAGCAGAACTTGAACTCAAGACGCTCCCTTGCTGTTGGTCACCTGCCACGCGCGCAATTGTGCCGTTTAAATCCAGCAGCAGATCGAAAGCACCGGTTACATGACAGGCAGTGGAATGGGCAACAATACACACACACAACCACATCAGACCTCAGACATGCCCATCGCGGAAGCGATGATAGCGAACAGCTATGTTAGACATTGCAACTTGTGCTGGGATTACACCATTCAACAGCTTGCAAGGCTGATGAATTGACCGCCACTATTTTTAGCCTGGTATCCACCACAAACTGTTTGAAGTGACTTTTTCTGGCCAGTGAATCCCTATTTTTCATTTTTCCATTTTTTTCTACACACACACCACACCACATACTCCAGCATACACTGGCTGTTGGTAACCACCCAGGAGAATGAAAGAAAAGTCAGGAAGAGTCTGAGAAAGAGAAGAAAGACACAAGACACACACAAACGCACTTACACACACACACACACACACACACACACACACACACACGCACGCACATACACACACGCACATACACACACACACACACACACATACACACAAACGCACGCACACACACACACACACATGCACACACACACACACACACACACACACACACACACACACACACACACACACACACACACACACACACACACACACACACACACACATACACACATACACACACACACATACACACAAACATATACACACAGACACACCTACACAACGGTTCTCCAGCACTTATCCAAAGTAATGACTGATGGGACACGCTATAAACCAGCACGCACGAGAGTGTACGGTCAAAATAGCTCAAGATGTAGGCTCAAAATCCCAGTTCCAATTTGGCCGGAAATGGGATTCGGATCAGCACATTTGCAGTCATCAGTGCTAAATCTGGCGACGAACTCAGTTATGGTGCCCATTTCGTAGAAATTGCAAGAGCATTCCATACTGCATGGCGACCATCAACCCATTACGGCTGAACGGCAAAATCATCTCATCATTGTCTGAATGGGATGCGAGACTTACTCTGTCGTGTGTGTCATTCTCGCGCATCTCACGCCAGGTCGTGACGACCGCCTCGCTGGGTGTGAACTCTTCACTGCCAATGGAGGACGCCCTCACTGCCTTAAGGATCTTCGAGAAGGTGGCTGCGTCGGTGCTGTTGCTCACAACATGGCTAGTCACCGTACCTGAATTGCAACGGCTGGCTGTAGCAGTGTTAGTCCACAGCGGTGCCACCAGAGCAATACTGTCAGTCACACGGTCAATACGGTTGTAACCGCCCGTGAAGCCGGCCAGCGACACGAATCCGTTCCTCGACACCTGTGTCATTGACACATGAACACACACACACAGATACACACAAGCAAAATGCGTATAACATAGCATCGACAAACATACCCGCAATATGTCCTCCAACACAATCTGTGTTGGAGGACACAGCAGGGGCTCAATGTTCAACAACAGAAGGAGCTATTCTACCCATTTGTCTCCTGCAATGATGCCTGTGCCTTTCCAACAAGCCTGCAGGGTTTTCTGATCTAAGGATTTATGACAACTTCAAGTGTAGCTGCTGCATTCTTGACTATGTCTGCTACCAAAGTGCAGAGATCACAGCGCAGTACAGTAACCAAGGCAACATCCAGCCCAACCAATCCCAAGCCAATCCAAGGCAAGCACCGCTGCTGCCCTGCACATACATAAATTAGCACACTAAGTACGGTGGTGGCCAGAGAAATACGGCTCACGATTCTTTTAAAAATAGCGCCACGCTTCCATTTCAATTACATAACATCATCGCGGCATGCTCCAAAAACCGATCCGAGGGCTGTAGGGCTCCGCACAAGCCTTGGCGCTGCTTTTGGCACGCGGGTCGGATTTCTTTGGCCACGACTGTATTTTTTGTCAAAAGTGTGAAGACTCCACTGTAGCCATCCACGATACCCATACATCTTCACAACACTCTCCAACAGGTCTCTGCCCTACACCTATAGCTAAAAGAGAAAAGGAGACCATCATTCGACTGTATTTGAAGAAGTTTGTATAGAGTATAGAACTCCATGGTCTTACCGTAACGTTGCTGTACTCTGCATAGCTGGATCCAAAGACCACCGGGTAGGTGAAAGAGAACGAATCCCCGCTGACCTGAGTATCCGCAAGCGGTGTCAGCATAGACTCATTCATGTCTGTGCAGCATGGGTGGTGACAATTGCATGTAGCACACACACAGAGACAGTCAGATAATGCATGATCACATACACACACGAAATTGGTTTAAACATTTCGCCACCGATATTTCAAATCTTACTTGAACAACAGCACAGTATAGAGAAGAAAAAAACAAGACAAGTTGATGCATGGTGATGACGGCAGAGTTAGTTCTTTTTATTGTTGTATTAAATATTGTGTCTCCGCGGCGTTAATCCGGCAAGACATTTATTCAATCTACAGGTAATAGGGACCTTTCGCATCTGCTGCGAATCGAATGCGAAACGAAAGTTTGATTCGGCTCGTCCTTGTTTCGTTGAAAACAGATTCAGGTTTCGCAAGTCGTCGTGCTAATTTCCATGGAAACTACGAATAGCTTGGCGTATGCGTGTTTACACGTACACGTGCATGGATCATGGAATCAAGGAAAACTGTGTACCGGGGAAAAATGTGTACCTCACGGATTCAGAGCGCGTCACGAATGAAGTGGCTTCAATTCGTGAAACCGAGCCCTCGTAAGTGACTCTGACGAATTCTCGAACCCAGGCGACGAATCAGCATTCGTTCCGTTGCAAAAGGTCCCTAATAGACACCCTAAGCAAACAACGGTAACACTATTTTTTACGGTACTCGTACCTTGATCACCCAAATAGCGTTGAAGCTGCAGCGTATAAACGTTATGGGGGCTGATTTATCGTTGTGACCAACGGTACGTGTTTTGGCCAAATATTGCATAGTCCGTACGCATTTCACCTTGTATCGCATATATGGTGACAGAAATGGTTGTACCGCGCGAAATCAAAGCTATTCTCGTGGCAAAGGCGTACGTACTAAAAATAGCGTGCATCTTGCTAAAGGTCTAACCCAAATCACGGTATTTTCCCCCTTACGATAATACCGTTACGACATAACGTTTTTTGCTAAGGGTGTCTACTATAGAGCAAGAACAACCAGGAACACATGTGACATATGTACTCGCTTACTTAGGCAGCCTGCTTGCTCGGTGTAGTATTGAGCGGCGTCCGTGCAATCATCACACCGCTGTCCCGTGTAACCAGGTAGGCACAAACATTCGCCGCTGGTCACGCTGCACTGGCTGCTTTTAGAGCCAACGGGAGAGCAACGGCAATCTATGGGTGAGAGAGAGAGAGAGAAAGAGAGAGAGATAGATAGAGAGAGAGAGAAAAGGAAGAAGTGAATACAGCGAAAGCATAACGTACAAATACATGTGCGCACGTGCACACACATACCCTACAGGTATGGGGATACACACATACCCTACAGGTATGGGGATACACACATACCCTACAGGTATGGGGATACACACATACCCTATAGGGGAAACGTGATGCTAGTACAGTCAAACCTCGTTAGGATGAACTTCAAGGGACTGAACAAATTTGTTTGTCTTATCGAGAGTTCATCTTATCCAGATCTGACAAAAAATCGATATGCATATCAGATGGATTGTATTTACGTGAAAGTGCATGCTGTGGTACATGGGAAGCATGTTATTCTTAGCATAAGCCAGAAACAGGTAAGTACAATGACACAGTGCAATGAATCACGACTGTGTCCAAAGTTCGTACAACGCACTGATTGATTTGTTCAAAACACGCTTGAAAACAATTTGCACTGTACGTACAATAAGACCTCGACTATTGAAAAAAAAGAAGAAAAAAAGCAGCCAGCGCACGCACACGCTCGTGGACCGAAAGTTCGTACTACATGTAGAGGGGACGGTTTCAAATAGGACACCGGTTGCAAACCGGAACGGACTCAATATTCACTTTCTCTCTTGGTATTTTGATTAGAAAACATATGTCACAGTGAGACTACTATGTGTTATACTCCGAGCCAAAATTCCATGGCTCTGCGATGACCAGAAGCGCCATATCAAGCAGGTGCGTTTTTGACGTGTTGCTTCGCACTGCGACTTGAGTTTTACGACTTTCGAAAAATCTTGTCGCAGGTAAACAGCGGCTCGCCTCTCGCCAATAAAGCA